TATTTCTTATTTTGTGTAATGTTTAAAACATAACATGTAGATAATGTGTTTGATAAAATTACAATGAGAAGAATTTATATTGTGGTTATGTACTTATTTTGACTTGGAGTTGGTTTTATAATATAATATTAATAATATTATTGGGACTTAGATGTATGGATTTATTAATTATAAGTTATAATTTCATTAGTGAAATTGTAAAAATAAATAAAAATAATATATTTATTATAATTTCTAGGCCCCGCCTAGACCCCTCCTAGGCCCCGACTAGGTGCTCTAGGCGCTATGCGCTGGTCGAGCGCCTAGCGAGCGCCTAGCGACTTCTAGAACACTGATTTGAATACAACAAGCTTATAAGCTAACAAAATAAGTTATAAGTTACAAGCTAACCGGGTGTCATCGACAGTGTTGCTAGCGACAACTTTGCGGTTATTCGCACCATGTCGTACTAGTTCTATGTGTTTACTTGCCTTCTGAACTTGTGATTCCTTCACATTTGCAACTGCACCAACCGTCATCATAATAAAATGTGACCGTACTTGGGCAAAATAGAATTTCACATTCCTAGTCCATAGAGGTTCTCGGAGTTTAACATCTCTCGTCGCTTGCTCTTGAGGTGACGACATAATGAGTTTCATGGTGGAACCCGTCAACGAATTACCATTTGACATTCCTCTAAATTGTTGGCTCCACCTCACAAGTAAACACACATCTTGAGGAATATTTTACTTATTATTCACGTCTAATTAGAGATTATAATCATTTATAACCCATAGGCTGCATATCGTTCATTTAGTAACCCAACATATTATCCTTAGTTCGGCTATGGAATACTTGACAATATGTCTTATAGCGCCTCATTGTTTTAAATATCGTTTTAAATAGATGTATTTCTTTTTTATTTCATCATTAATTATAAATATAGTCATTTAGTTATTATAAATTTTATTATTCTTCTTAATTCTTATTTTGCTTTTCTTATAATAATTAAGGTAATATTCCATTACTCTTTAAAAAGGGAAGAGAGCTAAGAACTAAGGTAAATGAGTTAAAAAGTGAAGAGATAAAATAGTTAAGAGAGAGTTTAGGAAGGGAGAATCGTTCAATTATTTTTTTCACTCACGTTACCTCGCCCAAACCGAACGGATCTCTATCTCGTTCGGTCACACTCCATCAATCCCAACATTTTCTCCTCTCTTTAAACCTCCATCAAGGTAAATGTTCGGCTATTGTTAATCCCTTCACCCTCTCGAAATTCTCCTCTTCAGAGGCCAAAGAATAATCATTTTCTCCTTCTCAAAATTTTTTTGTTTTCAAAAGCTAAGTTTCGGGTGATGATATCTATGGGGATCTCGTTAAGTACAAGTTACAAATCAAATAATCAACAATAAACCTATGCGCATCAGATACTAAAGGTTTAGAGTTTATGGCTTAAAATTTGCAGACTCTGAGATGTAGATTTCCATTGATGGAGATCGGTTGATTTCCCACTCGTCGTAAATCTCCTCATTCGGATGTCTTGGGGTCGCTGAGAAACTCGCGAGAATTTTGCGTTGATGTGTATAGTGAAAGTTTGGCTTTTTGTTATTCCCGTTTGAATGAGAATTCATGTTTAATAAAACAATTCTATTTTTTGTTGTTTTCAATTAGGGATGGCAAAACGACCTGGACCCTGCTCGAACTGGCCTGACCAGGAGCATTTGAGGCGACCCAAACCTGCCCCGTTTCTAAAATGAGTCGGGCCTGGCCCGACCTGTTAACTAAGCAGGTCAGGTCTGGGTCCTTTTTCTCGGCCCGCCCCACCCCGGCCCGCCCCGCCTTGACCCGTCCCGATCTTATTTTTTTATTTTTATATAAATTATATATAATATATAAGTGAAATTAGGAATTAGGTTTTGAGTTTTCTCATTTATGTATCTTCTTATTCTATATAAATTATATATAATATTATAATGTCTGGATCTTTGTATTTTGATTTTTGAATTGTAAGACTTACTATGTTATTTATTTGATTGTTGTATTTCGAATTGAGTGCTATTTAAGCTTTTAAAGTTTTATTATTATTATTATTATTATTATTATATTATTATTATTATTATTATTATTATTATTATTATTATTATTATTGTTATTATTACTATTATTATTTTTGTGCAATGTGTAATGTTTAAGGTGATGATTGAGGTAAATAAAAGGATAAAAAATTATGTAGGGGGATACCGGGTCGGGCGGGTCGTAGGTCGGGGCGAGTCGGCCCGCCCCGAAATGGGTCAGGTCACGGGCCCAACCTGTTGTACCCATCGAGGCGAGTCGGGTCCACTAGGCCAAAACGCGGGACAGGTCTGGGTCCGCAGGTACCCGGCTCGACCTAGCCCATAAATGGTTCATCACAGATGGACAAAAGATCATCTCTCGGTTACTTGTGAAACATAAATATATTGGTTCACAACCTAAACGAAAATTGAACAAGACATCAGAACGATTGTAGTGTCAACAGTACAGTCGATCTTAACCGATTAGTTGCACTAGTACACATTAGTAACAAGATCCAGAGTGGAGCTGTTAGTTTTATACTAATCGTAATAAACGAAGTAGGTCTTGGCTAATTACTTAGTTCTCTTAACCCGTAGATATAAACAAGCACATGTGTGTAGTAGTTACTGCTTTGAATCAACAAGGTGAGGTTTATTGTCATCGACCAAATAACTGTCTATTTTGGGTAGTGATTCCTACATGACATGGTGCTCTGTTATAATAGTTACAATCACCGTGTACTTCACAAAGTTGAGGTTTGATGATGTCCCCGAAGTAACTCAGAAGGATTATTATGTTAAACCTAGCCAGTGGAGTTTATTCCGAAGTAATAATAATGTATTGAATGGCGCTAGCTTCTGTTCAAGAAGTCAATTAATTTAACTGTCAGTAACTAAATTAATTGATGGACATTGTATCTTAAATATAGGGAGGTAAAGCGAGTAATTAGAATTGGAGCTCAAATCCTAATTTAGGAATTAAATTCGGAGATTTCAATAATACTACTTTAGTGAAATGACTGCATTATACATATTTAGGCTAAGTAGGCTTGGCACACAGTTATGCCCAAATACGGGAAGCCAAGTGTAGCCTATAAATACATCACATCTCTTGGGTTGGGAAAAGATGAGAAAAATTAATTATCCCCTATTCCTAGCAAACGAATTTATCTATTTATATTGAATTCAATACACATAATCTCATTAACCCAAGCCATCAAATTCATCAATTAAATGGAAAGGAGTACATACGATTAATATGAAACCAAGTGACGAATTTGAATTACAATCTTAATCCGAAAATAAATCTTAGAGTATCATGTTGGAGTATACAGTAAAGCAAACTTTTATGTGAGATTTTATAATATATTTATGATTTCCCAGTTGGCTGAAATAAATGTTTTCACATTGTTGCACTCTTTATGATTGCATGTATCTAAATGTCCAATTATCTTATGTTGTAGACAATGTGGTGTGTTAGTAGTCACACAGAACATTGTCGATTCCTCATAAGATATAAATGGTATTCACAACTGAGACAACATGACTATCGGTTTAGGTTGTAGTATAAACTGTATGTAGCTTGTCTTGGCTATTGGTTTATACTAGTGCGCTGCGTCGCATTGAAAGGATCACAGTTGAGATGTGTTCTTCGGTTCTGACTATCATGAAGAACCAAGGTCTCGGTGACTCCACTAATTCTTAACCCTAACTGTGATACTTAGATATGTGGGGTATTTGTTTGTTA